AAAGTGCTCAGAAATCCTCAGAAAGGCAATATTTTATTAAGTATATGAGAACAAAAGAATTACGTGGCATTTATAACATAAAAAACTTCATTGCTCTGTTAACCAAAAAAGACATTTTGAGGGACCACGAGGCATATTCCAGCCATTCCACACAAAACAATGTATTTGATGGCGAAAAATTCATATTATCGTATGGACGCTAGACGAGACCAAGAAGCATGTCTATAGACCATCTATAGATCGTGTCTTGAGACCGTCTCCATTCTGCCTATATACAAATTGCGCAACGGGGTCTACTAGTGTGTACTAAGCTTAAGGATTAATACTCTGAACTACCCGTTAAACGGCGTAAATACTGACACAATCAAGCACTGTTATATCAGCAGGAGATAAAAATATCAATAGGTATAGTCAATTATTTTTTGAAATTCAATATAGATGTTATTCTTCAGACTTTCGTTGTCGAACTTAGATTTACGGCATAGTTGTTGTTTTCTCAGTTTTCCAATCGGTGTTGATCGCATGTAAAAATGTTGGAAATGTTCGGAAAAAACTATATATGTTAGATCGTAATTATTTTGATAATGTATGTTTGTACGAAACAAGAACAGGAATACAGCGCTGTATATATTCACATATAGTGCAGAAGCTCTGTGACTTAAACGAATTTCAATATAGCAACATAAATAGAAACGTACGCGGAAGAAATGCGGGACGTGTGGTATTGACTTTGAGCATCGATCGACGCATTTCTAGACAGGCTACAGGCCACCGCTAAGTAAATCTAGTAAATGTATATTTCCAGTGTAGGCGTTCATCTAATAAGTCTAATCATATTAAGCAAATTTCCCCGAAATAATTGCAAGTCCAGTTTTATTGGTGCACGTTGGTTCACGGACGCATTTTAAACATGGACTCATAAAATGGTTACAACAACCAATTTTTGTGGGAAAACCTTTTTATTTGAAACAAAGAATGAGAAATCGTGTTTTTTGGGATTCAATCGAAAGTGTTGACAGGAACGAAAAAACTTTTTAGGTAAGATTTTAGGTATTTATGATTCCTACAGAATGACTAATAAGCAAAAATGTTATGGCCGAAAAACCAGGCAAAATGCAGGTTTTGGCACTTGTTGATAATGCCGACGATAATTTTACGCAACTACTTGAAATTCGTGAAATCAGCAGATTCATACTTCTGAATAACAACAGCAAAATTGGAGTATGATGGACAAGTAGTTTTTTGAGAATAT